CCTTAAGCAATGTAATAAGCTGAACTTGTATTACTTGTAACGTTTCCGTTGAAAACCCTAGCGAGATGCCCTCAAAAGACCGGGTTACAGGAGGCAGCAAGAACACAAAAGGTACAAGTCGGTGATTAGCCAGTCTCGTGTCAGGGTAAGGGATTCCAAGTTGCACAAATCGCTTAAAATGATCCAATCGGATCACAGAGATGGTCAGAGAGAATTTAGATTTTTAAGGTCACGGGTGAGAGGGACAATACGATGTGAAATGATGGAGCAACTGCCCGGTATATATTACCCAAATATTGTTGTTATATCACATTTTGAAGTGAACTATTCGTTCCTTCAATAAATTTTTACAAACAATTGAAATGACATTATTCTGTCATAAGAAACACAAATAAAGGAAAGCTCAAGTCCAGACTTTAAGCAAACTTTATTAGGACTAACACTGTCTCACTAAATCTCAGTAGATTTATAACTTCAACCAACATACATCATTCTTGATGAGTCATGAGATACACTGTTTCCAGATTCGGTAGGATTATTCGGAGTAAAATGCTCCCTTTGCCGTTCATACATGTCATGCTGTGAATTCATTTCTTGTCAAAACACCCATGCAACCATAAACTCTGGGCTGGGATTGAGTTCCCAAACTTTCATCATGATTTTTGTCTCTAAATATGAACTCAGTTATCGTCCAGCCCCCGCAAGATGTTGCGGTGGAACAAATGAATGGCCAAATACGTCTCTCTTGGAAAAGCTCAACTGTAAAAGAGTACCGCATTCGACTTTTTGCCGGTTCATTAACGGACCATATTCTCACTGTGTCCGGAAGCGAAACAGATTATTTCCTATCACTGAATCCGTGCATTGCATATGTGATTGAGCTATGTGCGGTGGATGATCAAGATCGACTCAGTATTCCCGTTTTCAAAACAGTTGTACCCAAAGCAAATGGTGAGTTGTTTCTCTTTGTAATATGGTTTGATTTGTCCAGCATGTTCTACAAATTTAAAGACAGCGAATGATTTTTATCTTTACTACCTTCACCACCGGATTCATGTTACATACCAGTCCCCAATTGCGCGATAACTCGGTCTTTTCTCTATCAGTTCTGGAGATTGGTTACCATTTTGAGCAGGCAACTTTATCAAGACCTCTGTTTACTTACACAGCCAGCTTATTTTCTAAATGGCCCCCTAAACTAACCACGATGAGTTCCTCTGGGAAATGTTGAAGTTTTCACGTTCGGGATATTGTGTCACATTGATTTACTAAAGAAATCAGGTGTTCCTTGGCAAACAGCAGAACAAATATCTCAGTTGTCAAGCCTTACATAAGCATCCGAATACCAGAATTATGTTGCAGTGATATTCGACAGTTTCACATCAAGTCAACCACTCCCAGTGATTCCACGTTGAGGATCGGATATATAAATTCAAATCAGACAGGGGATAGCTTGCAACCGATTTGCTAAAAGTGTCATAAACTAAATGAGGAAATCCAAAACAGTTCTTCATTTAATTGGCTCTCATTTATGGTGAAATATAATTAAAACTGATCTAAACTTTGTTGAGCAAAGCTCATCATTAGAACGATCAAACTCATTAATTTGAGGTTGCCACATGGATTTCAACCATGTGGCATGGCAATGCCCGGAGTCAAATGATATTGCCGTGATGTTTGCAAACACAGCTGTATTTAAAGATTTGATCTGCGATTATTATTGGCACGGTATTCTCCGTAATCATAATTCAGTAAACATGACCCAGAGTCGACACATGTTTATCACACAGTTCGACAGATCTAATGCTCCGCATAACTACCATGGATTCAGTAAACTGCACATGCTTTCATTAGTTCATAAGCAACACAGCTGCACTGTTGAAACAATCTGCTTTTCCGGTAACGAACAGGAAAACCGTGGTGGTGATCGTGCGTGTTGCAACTGGGACGTGGATTGATACACGATTCTGGTGCGTGGACAACAGGTTTGCTCAACGTCTTGGTGCTGTGGCGTGTGATAACAAATCTGACTATCATAACCCTAACGTTGTTGGCTTCTTCCCTGCTCTTTGGCTAAATAAAGAAATAATTCAATGTGGATTTTTTAGAGGAGATGTGTGATAAGCTTACTTTTTAGACAAATAGCTGAAACCGTCAAACGTCGGGTTCAGTTTGAGACTACACAGTTTTAATGGTTTCCAACAAGTAGAGCGAAACGTTTATGGTGGAACTTGTGGATTTTTACCATGTGAAGTTGCCTAGAAATAAAGAAGTGGATCCCAAAACCTAAAATAAGTTCTGTCATGATGAATGTTGTAATCAAAGGAAAATAAAACCCATGGAGCGGTATGCTAGTGAATGTTTTTATTGACCGTTCAAAGGAAAAGTAACACAGTGAATACCCGTTGTCGATACCAACACGGATAGCGAAGAAATATTTTCAATCAAATAGTCAAACTCGTTATGCAGCTAAATACTGGAACCTGTAACCGCTTGACATTCCTTTAATGATTTCAACGACTGAGTAACAGAGCTTTTCTATGCCGTTTCCCTAGCACCTCCACCACCAGAGAATCTACAAGTGGTTGATGACTTGTTCATCCATGCACACATTGTCACATGGGATTATCCGACAGATTTTGAACCGAATTGTGAACTGGTATTCCATTTCAAATACACTTATGATACAGTGGAGCAAGTGATATCATCTTTCGTTGGCAATTCCATTGATGTCAGTGGGTTGCCGATAAATACTTTGGTCACATATCACGTACGTGCTTATTATCGTCAGTATGGTTCCGAGAAAAGTGCACCGGTAACTGTCAGTCGACTCACGCGAAGCAGAGCAGATCGTGAGTTCAACTCGAATGACTCGTTATTTTGTAACTTGCCAGACTTGGTGTGCTCATTGATAATGCTTTATGTCCTTATAAAAATATATCATTTGGAAATGGATTTTTACAAGCCAAGTTATATGTTACCCTGATTCTATCTATCTGATTATTGATCGTTTGTTTTCCTTAGAAGCTACAACAGTTGATGGAAAACTTTCATGCCTTTAAACCCCTCTAACGTCACGATTGAATAGGTTAGACAGAACGTTCCCGTCGCAAAGTAGCGAATTAGGAACCAACATAAGTAATATCCAAAACAGAATAATACTAATTCCATAAACCTTACGAGAATCTTTCTGGTTTAACAGAAATTAATTCCCACCGACCTACAACCCGGATAGCTGCATGTTCATTGTTAATCTAAGAGTCAATTGTGACTGAATGGGACAGAGCCGCAAGGTGTATTGTTTAGAAGCACCGCTGGGTGAAGTACAAATAAAGTTCAAAGGGGAAATTCGTCGTGTATATAGCAAATGAAGCGTGAACTAAAAAGCTAAGAAGCACTGGAAAGCCGTTTCGACCTGGTTGGGTGTCATCAGCAGTGCGAATCCATCGACCCAGCTGTGGATCGAACCCGGGACCTCAGAGGCAGAACGCAAGCACGCTATGCATTCGGCCACCGGACAGCTGATCAGACCGCTTTTTTTATTTGCCATTTACACGATATAGCCCAACCCATCTTTGTGTGATGCTACTGGTGACAGGCAAGGATTCATCAGAAATGGGTACATTTTTGTTTCCTTGTCGGAACTGGGATCAGCTGTCATGCGAAGTCCCCTGGCATAAAACAATGATAAATATGTGGCGAACTGAGAAATCAAAGACAAGATACGCAAAAGCTGGTTTCGGTGAAGTTGCATGATCAATAGGAAACTTTTCCACAACCAAATAATTTACGATGAGTGTGGGCAGTGGAAGCATGTGCAAATAAAATGCAGCCATTCAGTTCGAGCTGAGATGAAATATCGGACGAAAGATAGGTGCACTTTGTAGTCCGTCGGATGAACCTATCCAAAGAAAATCAGCTGACGATATTCTATAATTTTAAATACAACACAACTCAGTTGAAAGAATTTGATGAATGGTAAAGGATTTCCCATGCGATTGTTTCAGCTCAATCTGTTTTGATGACTGAAGACGATGAATATTTATATATATAATATTTTCACACACGTAGGAATCCAGACTGTTCCAAACAAATTATGGTACAATAATCTTCATGAAAAAGTAAAACGTTCCGTGATTTGCACGTGGGCGGAATACTGCCAGGTAGACCAGGCCAAGGTAGGTGAATGTTTTTGAGGAGTTCACAACCCGAGCCTTTGGCTAGCAAAAGCCTAGCCCAAAAGGCAGCGGGGCGGTGTGTGAAAATCGCAGTTAATTGGGAGCCTGTGTCCAGATCATCGAATCACACGCCCTTTGGACGGAGTCAAGCGTCCAAGGTGCCCAATACACCTTGATACCCAATCGAGCTGGTGACCACTGCCACAACCAGGAAGTTATGTGTGTGGTTTGTAAGCCTCCTCATGGTTGGTTTGGAATCAAGGTTTTTGGCTAACTCCCCTAGGTGAACTACCAGTGGTCCACGAACCCGGTTATAACCCCGGATGAATAAGGAAGCAATCACGAAAATAAATAACAAATAAAAACAAATGTTTCTCAATACCAGTTGGTAATCCAGTGTGCATGGTGTAGCACTGACAAGCATAGGAAGAGAAAATGTATGGCAATTCATAAACATCTCTCTCAAAAACGAACAGTGGGTGGGGGGTTCCAGATCACACATCCTCACGGTATGTAGTGAACGTTTTATTCATCAGCATCCTTAAGCGGCAAGGTGCGTAAAAATGATTTAGCAGAGCAGAGTTAAAATTGCATACTGCAGTTATGGAATAAAGTCCTAAAACTATGAAATAGCGATAGATTTACAACGAAAGAAGATGTGAACAGTTAGCAGTCGTAAGCTGCACACATACAGGTTTTGAAGAAGACCAAAATTCCTTAAAGGATGGGATATTCATCATGATATGGTGGCACAAAGACCTTAAAGTTGCCTCATACTGTCTGAAGTAACCAAATGAATATCAGATATGCTATGCATATAACCTTAGATTCAATTAAGTCTCTGTTTTCATATTCTATTCATCCAGAATCTTCAGAGATTTTCGCCACTTTTTATGTATTCCTGTAATAAAATGTGCGATTGAAGAAAATAGCTTTCACATAACTGTTTCCTTAACTAACTCGAGTGCGTGTCTGCAGAACGAGAAACTTGATATGACTGGGGAAAGATGTTTTTGATAATGATAACCTGCGGTTAGCACTGTCTAGATTGTTCCAAAAAGTCTAGATTTATGCTGACCGGAAGTTTGTATTCCGAATGATGAGTTCCATATTCCCAGAGAACTTTTGATTGACCATAAAATACACTATCTCACAGCAGATAATTTCGATTTAGGGTATTTTACATGCATTTTTACTATCACATCTTTATTTTTGCCATAAATGATCGTATAGAATAAAACGGAGTTGTACTGAATTTTTCTTATATTCATTTATTTAAATTGCAATCTTTCATAAATCCGCATACACTTCATACTGAACAATTTTACGAATTTAGTCACTCCGGTCATCGGCTCTGCGACGGTGCGAAATACAACAATTACAGTCCAATGGAACGGAACAAATGTAACAAACTACGTATTTGGTTACCAGTCATCTCGAAAATCCTTTGATGTCATAACGTTTCCAAATGATTCAAGTACGTACATCTTCGACACCAATAATCCGTGCACGTTCTATACTCTGTGGGTTATGGGAGTAACCGGTCAGATGCAGTCTGATCCAGTTCTAATGAAGGTAATGACTGAACCCAACGGTAAGCTGATTTCGAATGTGTTAAAAGTTGAAAATGCTTTCTGATCGTTTTCCCCATGGTTATGTTATGTTATGATTAAAAATCCGTGTAAACGGTCAATACGATGACCAGCCTTGACAAGCTTGATGTAGCTATAGGCAAATGAAAATTTAAAAAGAAAACACAAACTATTGATACAAATTTTTATTGCGGCGAAAAGTAACCACTTCCTTCTTATATATACACATCTTTTAAAAAGTTCTTTGCGAATGCAGGAGTTCTCTCTTCAAGTCAAGTCAAGTCAAAAATCGCTTTATTCATCCTAATGGATGAATTCTCAGCCTCCTACATTCCGGGATCATTTATCAACGCATACAGTCACAAAAAATGAAAAATGCATCTTAATTTCAAAGGAATGTGGCGTGAAAGTTTGAAAATGAATATCAATTGTGTAGGAAATTCAAAAATGTCTTCTCTAACAAATGCCTTTTGAGCCGGAAATCTCGAAAGATATGGGATGACGGACAAACGGTAGGCAGTGGTACGAGCATACACAAGTTTATAGCGACATCTTGTGACAGAAGTGGATATGCATTGTTTAAGTTCTGTGTGTAATGGGTGAGTGGTGTCTGACAGAATATTGTTACAGAAGTTATAGCAAGAGGTAAAACGTTTATCAGCGATAAAGTTAAGCAAGTGCAAATAGGGAATACCGCTTGTGCGAGAAATAATTTTAATAGACCGGCGTAGAATTGTGTAATCTTTAGCTCTAAGACCGGCAAATAAAACTGGGGAGCAGTAGAGAAGATGAGTAACAACACAAGAATATACAAATTGGGTGAGTAAATGCAGTGGAACTTTTAAAGAACATAAGCGGAAAATAAAGAAACAATCGTCGAATCTTTTTAAATGTAGTGTTTAAATATGAAGTTCAAGTGATTTCTTCGGAGATAGTCGCTCCGAAGTTTTGCAGAGAATGTACTGGGGGAACAAGCTGGTTGTCATTTGCAGTGCAATTTCCAGCCTAAATATCCTTTGGTTGGATTTTCTACTATGGACCAACTTTGGGTAAAATTCTATAATAAATTCTTATAAACTGTTGGTAAATATCGACTACAGACATCAATCCTGAAATAAAACAAAACGACACGTTACCCTTCGACAGTGTCCCAGTAGCCAAACCCTCGTTACATTGAATTATGTAAGTAACATTCTTGCATTCCTGAGAACATTGATAATGTGCAGCATATTTTGAGAATAGTCAAGTCCACCTTGAATTTACTCGTAATTTCCACTTTCTGACAACTTTGACATGTGCATAGGTAAAGCGTTTTATCTTTCCCAACCAGGAACATCGGAAGAACTCATTTCAATGAAATAACTCCGGGTTAAATACTAACCAAAATACACCATGCAAAGAGGCATCAATAGCATCTGTGCGTGTCTTCGAAATCCCCTAACACTCTTAATCCTTCTCCCTGGCGAGACACAAAACTGTCAGATTTTTGCTCCCTCACGATTCCTTGCGAAAAATACCATCAGAAGTATTAATAGTTAGTTTGCTCGTCTACCCTGCTAACATGAATGAATCGAGCATTCACAGCAGAGGATGCAATTCATAAGGAATTGTTATATTGTTTGATCAAAGTCCAACACTTTGCACGGTTGAATTTCATGAATTATTTGAGCACACTTTTATTTTGGCATGTGAAAAGTCATGGTGTCTATGTTTTGATCCTATAAATCATGTTTGTTGTCCGATTTTAGCAGTCTGAACATAAAAGCGAATCCGATCTTTTATTCTTTTCAAAATACGTCTCATGTTAGTTGTCCCTAGTAAACCGGATGACGTGCAGGTTGAAGCTAGCTGTGGCTCGTTGAAAATTCGCTGGACATCGAACAACGCTGACAAGTACGTCCTATATCACTTGGTTAGGACGGTGGAATTGGGAACCGGAGCAACTATTACGACTAAAGCTACAGGAACAACAACGGAGGTCCGGGGTCTGAAATGTGACCACGGTTATGTGGTTACAATTAGTTCTGTGAATGATTGTGGATCGTCAGACGAGTCCGAACCTATTTACGTAGTGGCGGCTGATCAAGGTAAGCTCAAAATCTGACTGCCGCAGACATTGGATTTGATTATAATTTCACATACAAAAATAAGGATAGCTGTGTTATTCCATTGCGTTTCAAATAGACTGTGGTTTTTTATTAGACGAACCAAATTTTAAGCAGTTTCAATGAAATGAATTAAGGAATTGAATAACGTAATAATTCAACAATATCACATTCACCTTCCTTAATTTTTCTTGTTTCTTTCTTTTAGTCTTGTCTAATCTATGTTTTAACACCATCACTATGGTATGGCACAATACACACATCAAAGCAAACTTTGCCAATCACTTTCAAGCTTGTAGTTCATACTAATTGCGCTCGAATGCGTCTGATGAAGAAAAAGTTGGATTGGGAAAATAAGATGGAGTATCGTAGTCAACATGGAGTAGACAGTCAAACTGTTCGCTACTAACGGTTCGATAAGAAATGGCAAGACGAATGCTACTACTGACGGTTTGCTACCATATCTTTTGTGTTTCCAACCAATCACTTGTAGAGTCTTCTAAACCCAAACCTGAGAGATGGCTGACGCCTACTCCATCTAATCTATCTGTTTTTCTTGCTTTCTTGCTTTCCCTCTCCTCCACATCACTTGTTGGGTTTCCCAAGCTATTGGACAACTCGAGGGCAGCAACTGCAATTGAGGTGCAATGCGGTCAAGGACTGCTAGGCACACGTAACACGAATACTAACCAGTAGGTTCAATTCATCTACAGTAGGTGTGATAATGAACTCCCTATCGAATCATTCTCGATTACACAATAGATTACCTCCGTATTGGTGACTCGCTCACTCCATCCTACTTGTGTTGTGAGTTACTGCTCACAAATGTGAGCAGTACGCAAAAGGATGCCGTTAGCAGTTTCTTTCAACGGTCAAAAATAAATAAGACTTCTCGGAGCAAATTGCGACGTTTGACATGATAACTACGACCTGTTCCATTCCTCATCCAGTTAGATCCCCGTTCGATAGAATTTCATTGTTAAGTTAACAGTACTGTTTGTGAGTAGGTGTTAGAAAACCCTCGAGATCCGGAAGGAGCACTAATTGATGGTTCTGCTACAAAACAAAACATTTCAAAAGTATTCGGCTTAAACGGTTTTTTAACGGCAAATGATCGGTGAGATTCCTCCAGTGAGCCTCATTTTTCCAATTACTCTATTGATCGCTTGATACTTTGGTGATGATGTAATGGTATTTCTTGGGTAATTATTTTTCCACTAGATGGTAAATTGAACGATTGTTCCAAAAATACTAAAGATGACAGTATTTCTGATTGTAGTATTCAATTTGAAATGAATAAAATTCCTCCTAAGACCGTATTTTAGTTAAATTTGAATCAAATACCGAAATGATCATTCCATTCAGAACGCACGTTTCACTAAATTGAGCAATAAAACACAACCTCCCTCGTGTTTCCCGTTAACATTCCCAATAATTCTTAATCCTGCACTTAAACTGTAGTTCCAGCTGAGGCCGTTCAACAGATAAATTGCACACCCACGTACAACGCGCTAACAGTCAACTGGACCACAGTACAACCAACAACTTTGGATCTGGAATATATCGTCCGGCTGGAGAATGCTAGTCAATCCCAAACTACTACCCTAGAAAAAACATTCACTACAAACAACCAAACTGCGTTCGGTCGGTTACCATCCTGTTTCAGATTTAAGGTGGCTGTCTTGGCGACGAACCGATTTGGAGATAGTCCTTCTACAGCACAAACAGTGTATACACTACCGCCCAGTAAGTCGTATGTATGCGGTGCTTCATTTAGGTTTTAGTGCATATGCGTCAAGCATGGAACTTGCATATAAATCTATAAAATACACATTATAAAACCTAATTGCGCATTACTAAATGGAAGATTTTATGAGGGTCAATGCTTCTTTTCAGCTGGTGACAATCCATGACTCGGTGGATAAAATCATGCATATTTTATTGAAAGTGTTTAGATTTTGTCCCAGGAAAATTTAACTTGATTTACTTTAGTTGACAACTAATTGCATCCTTATGATCACCTATGATTTGTGCGACAGTACGGTAATTTCTAATACTAAGGCCGCAGCTCGCACACAAATTCTGTTGATCACGGAGTTCTCCCACTTTCGAGGTGGACGTTTTATATCGTTTTGCTCCCAAAAATCAACAATCTTTAATTTCTGAAAAGCAGATAAAACAAAAGGGGAAATCGCGCTTATTCTGTGGCGTACTTTCTTTTAGGACGACTGAGCTATCACCGTCCAGATCGGGTACAATACGGGTACAATAATTGAGGTGATTTTGGTCTAAAGTTATAGAGAGTAAAACATGGTGAGCAGAATGGAATATGGGTAGGAACAAACAAGGAGGTTAAAACATTCAGTTTGGGGTACACAGCGTGGAGTGAATGGTTTTGGTTTCCCCTGAAGGTCTGTAACCGGAAAAGCCGAAACCGTTTAGAAGAATCAAAAGTACGGAAGTATATTCATGAGGCTTTCTCGGGAAAAAACGTTGTTTGGTTACTGATGGAAATACAAGACATTTTTCCGTCTTACCACGAACAAGCCACTCTCTTTCCTTGGGATAAAGGAACACTGTATAACTATAACACAGCAAAAAGAATTTGGATGCGATTTGTGGTACAAGAAGAGAGGGTTGTATTCTTTCTGAGAAATGTAGAACGACAAAAGTGTTGAAAGCATTCAGGAGGTGGTTGTTGGCCGGGTTTGACACAGTGAGGATGAAAAGACTTTTATCTTACAGAAACGCATCAACATAATAATTCTGGGTTTAAAAAGATCATAAAAGCCAGTCAAGCCTGTAAGAACGTACTCATATTGTGCATCTGGAAGGAGGCTTGAGTTGAAAAGAAGTCCTCTGGACGGTGTGTAAACCGAACTAAGGTAGTTATCCTATAATGCAAAAAGAGCCGGAGTAAGGGCACAAGTGAAAAACAAGAGACGGGAGCGAGAATAGTAATTTGGCGGCCAAACGGTGGTGAGAGTACCTTTAGAAAAGCAATAAACGTTTAGCACACATGGTAAAACAGCACTGGTCGTATGGCCTATTTTCTTAATCAGTGACACCTTCATTTAGAGAAGAAAAGGAAACCGTATCAAGAAATACGTTCATTATTGTGTTCAGAACACAAACTGTAAAGAAGTATTTCATCTACAGCAACTACTTAACGTGCAATTTTTTTCTGACAATACTTTTTTCTATCAATCACACAATATTTGGACTATAATCAATATTTTTTGCATTTTAGCTCCACCAATACCGGAAAATCTGACCGTAGTACATGTAAATGATACGGTCCATCAACTCTCATGGAATGCAATTAACTCATTCCCCGCTTCCTGTTCACTTTATTATCAAGTGATTATGATCGCAAATACAAGTTCATGGAACCAAACTTTGGAGACTACTAACAATCAGTTATATATCGATAACCTGCATTACAACGAAACTTATTTCTACTACGTACGAGCACGAACTATGAAAAGTGATATTTTAAGTGATTATGCAGGACCAGTAAATATGACAAATCCTCCGTGTAAGTTTGATGGTCGATAATTTGTAATTTCCATTTTTTTTTTAATTTCTGGTGCCAACAATCAATAATCTAATTAGATACCATTGGTTTTAGAAGACACATGTATGTAGGTATTTGTGCATCAATGATGGCACTAACGCATGTACGGCTGGATGAATGGATGTACGTTAATTAGGAAATTTATATTGCTTTGTTATTACCACAATCTGTGATCGGCAACAACACGAAATGAGTAGTATCTGGATTAGTCACTTCGCATTGATCGACATTCCTTTCAATTTCAACTGAAAACCTAGTA